AGGAGGCGGGGTAGGGAAACTAGGCTGTTGCCTTTGAGTGGCCACCTGCTGGAGGAGGTGGAGCTTTGAGGCACCAAACATCTGTTCATCCGATAAACGAACTAATGTACTGGCAGTTCGTGCTCATCTTTCCTCATGGAATACTGGCTGATGGTTAGGACCCCGCCTCTGAAAACTGGGATGGTGAAGGAATGAATGGTATAGATTAGGAGTAAGCAAAATATATATTTTTCCCACATGTTGTTAGACTGGAGATCTCAGCATTTGTCAACTTTTCTCCGAGCTGGTTAAAAGTAACAGGTGTTCCCATCCACCAATCATTGAAGGGCTGAACTTTGCCTATGAGAAAATGGGAAGGGACTCCTGGGCAGCAAAGATATCCATAGTTATATCTAAGCTGGGCCATACTCTACTGGCAGAGTATCACATTGGGATCCCCAGATGTTCTTGGACTGCAGTTCCCAGAAGCCTTCGCCACTTGCTGTGCTGGCCAGGACTTCTGGGCACTGTGGTTCAAGAACATCATGGTGCAAGTAGATACTGCCCAGCAGGATGCTGTAAGATAGAGGGCATGGTACATTTTCTAACAGAATGCTTTCTGTATACAGATTTGAGGGATCAATATCTTAAACCAGTGGTTCCCAACCTTGGGTCCCCAGATATTCTTGGACTACAACTCCCAGAAATCCTGGCTAGCACAGCTAGCAGTGAAGACTTCTGGGAATTTTAACCTAAGACCATCTGAGGACCCAAGGTTGGGAACCACTGTCTTAAACCTTTCAAAACTGGAATTAAGAACAATTCCCCTTTATGCGTGGTTTTCTTTGAGCTAGCAGGCACAGACTATATATATACTATAGGATGGCCAAATCCGTTAAATGAGCCATGGAAAGACAAACTCCATTGCCTGCTTCACAATCTCCACAAGTTTATCTTACAACTTGATATACTTGCTTGAGGATGTTTATTTCATCCGTTTATCCTTTTCTGATCGTTTATATGTATTTATATATTAGTTGCTAAAAGAGCAGTTTTAATTTCTGTTTATGCATACAGCCTGGCTGGCTATTGAGCAATAATAAAGTAAGGCAATGCATTACAGTGGTGCCCCACAAGACGATGTTAATTTGTTCAGCAAAAATTGCTGTCTTGTGAAAACGTCGTCTTGCGGGGCACCACTGTAATGCATTGAAATCCGTTTAATGAGTTCCAAAGGGGAAAAATCGTCATCGTTTTGCAAAAATCGCCCATAGAGAAACTGTTTTGCAAAGCGCGGATCAGCTGTAAAAATCGCTGTCTTGCGAAAATTGGTCCCAAAAACACCCGTTTTGCAAGTCGCGGACTCAGCTGTCAAAATCGTCATCTTGCGAAAATTGGTCCCCCCCCCAAAAAAAGTCTTGCGAAGCACAGTCCAAAACATCATCCAGCAAAAATCGCCCATAGGAAACACCATTTTGCGAAGTGCTATAGTGATCGCAAAAACTCATAGTCTAGCGAATTAACCATTTTGCAAGGTAATCGTCTAGTGGGGCACCACTGTATTTTGCTATTCTTCTAACCAGTTACACAGTAAATTGCTTTTCAGACTCTGCCCACTGGATCCACAACCGTTCACGTCAAAATTGGGCTGGTTCCCCAAGGATTCAAATCTACTTCCGGCCACCTCTACTTACTGTTTCTTGTGTTTGCGATCTTCCTTCCTTTTGCTTTTTGGGCTTGAAGAACTGAAGAAGAAAGATGAAATTAATTGGTAGATTGCTGCTTTACTCAGACAGCCAGTTTTATCATCACCATCACCACCATCATCATAATCATCTTAGAACTGCAGAGCTGGAAGCTATGGGTCATTGAAACCAATCCCCGTTAAGGAGGCAGAGTGGGGAATTGAACTCCCACCCGGTGGCTCCATAGCCAGAGACTTAAACCCAGAGGAAGGACAGCTCTCTCTGCCCCATGCCCTTATGGAGTTTCAGTCTATAATCCCTATCACCCCTCCACCATTGCTCATGCTGTTTGTGGCAGATGGAAACTGTAGTTGGACTTGTCAAGAAAGGATGACATTGGAGGACATTGAAGGGGCATTTGCAAATTAATTAGCTCGCCTTGAGCCCGTGCCTATGCAAAATAGCTGTTTAGTAGGCACAGTGGACGCCGCTTGGAAAGAGTGATTAAACACTAAACTTCAATAAAAATCTAAAAACCTTGTGCCAGAAAAGAATACATTCTTGCTGCTTTTCCCTTGCTGCTAGAGCAAGGGTAAGTTTTGATCTTGATCCAACTGCCCATTCTGGCAGTCTTTACCTTAACTGGGAGCATGGCTTTTGTTGAGCTAATGGGTCTTAGGTCATCACAGGACATCATCCTCCCTACTGATTATAAAAGTCCCATTTGTTCTAGCTCTTTTTGACCTAGTTCTCCAAGACTGGTCAATGCACAGCAGGCTAGCCTTAGCTCATCCAGGGTGATATTGGCTGACCGCACTGGCCCCTTACCACCTAACAGCTGAAAAGTTGCTTCAGCTTACAGTTCTAAACAAGCCATTATTACTATCCTTACCTGTGTCTTCTTTTCTTCGAAGATAATCTGCAAAGCAATAAATATTGATATTTTACAAACCCGTAAAGGTGTCAACTAGGAATAAATCTCACTGTACAGAACATTTTTGGTTTGAAAAAAATGCCTTTTAGGTAGAACGCTTGGCCTCATGGGGATCTAACAGAAGCACCTCGCCATCGTGATTTATAGGGGCATCTGTTGAGTAGAAGGAAAATTTGAAAAGAATTTGGATCCAGTTTAAGTGTCTTGGAAGACCTTCCTTCCAGTTAAAAGTAGATGGAAATCTGACATCGTGGCTGAAACCCCCTACTATATTTCATACTTAGAAAGAAGGGTTTCGGCTAGCTCTGGGGCAGGAACAGGAAGCTTAGGCTGAGCTAGGCCTAGATTAGGGACTTCTTGTGGGTGAACTGTATTTAGGTTTCTGTCTGTCAGGTAGAACTCCCAGAATGGAGAATTATGGGATTTTGTAGGTCAAAAAACCTGACCATTCCATCCATAATGATGGATGGTGCCTATGGTAGCTTTTGCAGTTGATCTTGCATTTATGATATGTAAAAATATCAAATAGTATTCTAACCAATGAGGATTCAATGTACCGTATTTTTCCATGTATAAAACGCCCCCCCCACTTTTCTAACCCCAAACTGAGAAATCTAAGTGGGGCTTAGCAAGGGTGGGGGGAAAGGGATCAAAGCACTGCAGGATCGCTTTGATCCCTGCTTTCCCTTCCACTTGTTTTTGTTCTCCCCTCAGCTTACTTCCGTGTATAAGACGACCCTCAATTTTTAGTCTAAAGATTTTAGACAAAAGTATAGTCTTATACACGGAAAAATACAGTATCTTCCCCTGTAAGAAATGGGACAAAGAAATCCAATGAAATGAATTTCATTGTTTTTTATATATAGCTGTGAGCTGATACAGTTCAGTGAGTGGAAGCGCCTGGCGTTCAAAGCCAGGAGTTTGAATCCCCATGGATCCTTCTAGAAGAGGAGACAGCCAAGATCATGCAGCGTTTGTATGACTGGCGAGGTCATGTGCTTTGCCAAGTGTGTCGCACCAGAAAGAGGGACAGCTATACATTTCTGAGCATTTATTTACCTCAGTATCATAACACAGAATCGACCTGGAAGCAGATAATATCTATCAACATCATATGCAGTTGATGAGTTTTGGGGTGAATATTCCTTTTGCCTGAGCTGAGAGTTTGGAAGCTGAGGAACTCGAAACCAAACATAGGGGATTTTTTTCCCCTGATATCTTGCGATTAAAAACAGTCTCTCCAAAGCTGTCATGTTTGAAGGTGATTTTAAAAGCACGAGATGGCAAGAAAGCCTTCCAGGTTTGATGCTGAGTTTGTGAAAAATCTCATCTAAAGAAAAAGAAGTTTTGAAGGAAATATTCATTTTAAGTACATTCATTTTCTTTGGAGGACTTTTGTCTTCTTGTTGACGGTGCTATTTATTGTCTCGTGCCTATCATGGACTCTCTTCCCCAGTTCCATATAAGCCAATAACATGGTCTGGGAAATTGACTAGAGAGGGTTAGGAAATAGCCGTCTGTACTAGTCAATTTCCCTTGCAGCCTAGCCAATTTCGCTTCTCAGATTAAAGCAAAGTGCAATGTAAAAGAAACAGAGTGATAAATACTGATGTGCAGGAACTTATCATGGCAACCCCCTTTGCCATGTTCCCAAGGAGGATGATAAACTAGAGGCAATTGTGGTAATTTACAGCAACAAACCAGTTCTAGTGGTTTTTCTGCTTCACCAGGAAAAGGACATCTGTAAAGCTAACATATTTTCATTCCCTGTTCAGGACCAAAATATTTTGCATTAAACTGGCTGGGGAAAATACAAACCCTCCCCCGAGCGACACTTAAGCACAGAGGGAAGAAGAACGTGTAAGGGGAAGGATTGCAGATGATGGCTGTGTCCTTGCTGGATTTCTGGGCTATAAATACCAAAAACCTCCATTCTGGGAGATATACCTCCATTACAGACACCGTAGGTTGTAAATGTTCCCCTTGTAAAGGTTGTAAAGGTTCCCCTTGTAAAGGTTGTAAAGGTTGTAAAGGTTCCCTTTGACATTTAGTCCAGTCGTGCCCGACTCTAGGGGGGGGGTGTTCATCCCCGTTTCCAAGCCGTAGAGCCAGCGTTTGTCCGAAGATAGTTTCCATGGTCACGTGGCCAGTGCGACTAGACACAGAACACCGTGACCTTTCCACTGAGGTGGTACCTATTTATCTACTTGCAATTCTGCATGCTTTTTGAACTGCTAGGTTGGCGAGGAGCTGGGACAAAGCGACGGGAGCTCACTCCGTTGCGTGGATTCGATCTTATGACTGCTGGTCTTCTGACCTTGCAGCACACAAAGGCTTCTGCAGTTTAGCCCGCAGCGCCACCACGTCCCCTACAGACACCTTGAGAACCTCTAAATGTGATGCATCTGGGAGAAAGGTAACAACTGGGAGGCTTTGAGGTTTAGCTAGACTTAGCACCACCCATGCTTCCTGTTTAGAAAGAAATCTCCCAGCTAGCACTGGGGCAGGAAGAGGAAGCTTGGGTGCTGCTAGGCCTAGCTAGGTCTGAAGGCCTTCCCATTGAGGCCGTTCTCCCAGGTGAGCCACTCCCAGAATGGAGAATTATGGTATCTGTCATCCAGAAAATGTTTTAAAAATCCCACCCCTATCTCTTTGTGTTTCATCTTTGGAACCCCTAGTTCTGCTATACGACAAGTTCAGAGGAGGGCATCGAGGATGATCAGGGGACTGGAAACCAAGATACATGAGGAAAGACGGAAAGAACTGGGCATATTTAGCCTCGAGAAAAGATTACGGGGGGAGGGGAGATATAAGAAAATGTTTCAAATAATTGAACACTGGGCATATTTAGCCTCGAGAAAAGATTATTGGGGGGAGATATGAGAACGTGTTTCAAATACTTGAACAACTGTCATTCAGAGGAGGGGCAGGATCCGTTCCCGATCATCCCTGAGTGCAGAACACATAAGAATGGGCTCAAGCTACAGGAAGCTGGATTTACATCATGAAAATCTTCTCAACTGTTAGAGTAGTACAACAATGGAACCAACCGCCTCGGGAAGTGGCGAGCACCTGACCACTAGAGGCATTCAAAAGAAAATTGGACATCTATCTGACATAATTTGATCTGGATTCTTGCACTGAGCAGGGGTTAGACTTGATGGCTTTATAGGCCCCTTCCAACTCAGTTCTTCTGTGGTTTCAAAAGAGATTGCAAACCTCTACAGTTTGGGGGCAGGGGTAGGGAATGAGTCCTCTTTAAGCAGGAACAAATTTTAGGAGCGACAAAAATCCATGGGAAGCCATACCTGTTCCTTTTCCTTTTTTTGGAATGCTTCTTTTTCTTCTTCTTCTTCAGAGGGGAGAGGCTGCAGGATGGAGACCTAGGGAGAAATCATTAGGAGCGGCTTTCATTTTTATGTGAAAATGTCTTTGATTCACTTGGGCTGGAAGGATTTAGCATGGTTTCTGTCCTGATCTATGCTCTCTCAAGTATAAACACCATCCAAACAAATTAAACCAGCCATCTCCAATCTGCTTCCTTTCAGATCAGTCACAACACGAGGACCATAACCTTTGAGAAGACCATGCCTTGCCGTCCTAGCTGTGGATGATGGGAGTTGTAGTTTGACATATGTGTAGAGCCAAGATGAGGAAGCTAAAATAAACCATAACGATGGTGGTACTGAAGATGTTTATCATCCCTGTTCTAGCAGGCCACTTCCTTCTCTGTAGGACACACAATAAAATCACAATCATAGCGTAGTGCTTTATACGTGGAGCTGCCCCTTGGAGAGGGTTTGGAATCTAAAGCTAGTAAGGAATGTTCAAAGTAGATTAGAAAAAGTTTATATTTTGCCTGTTTGATGCCGTTTTGAAGTTTAAAACTCTTTAGGGCTTAAGACAAGTACTTTAAGGGCAGCCGACTTCCACGTGTACCTTTTTTTCCCATCAGATTTTCCACTTTAGAGCTTATTTGAGCTCTTGTATTCTCTTAACTGAAAAATTTAATCCAACTACAAATGCAATTGTTTCCCAGCCGTGTTGGATTAAACCCACCATCATTCCCAGCCAGCAAGACCATTAACAGTGTTGTCTGGGTTTGATTGGAGTTATAGTTCCACACATTTAATGGCCACCATCTTGGACGGGACAAGCCTAATGGGTGACCAGTTATTGTTCCCCTCACTTATCGGGTTCTCAACTTTTCTGATTTGAAGGGAACACTTCTCTCTTGGTAGAAAGAAAGTGGATCCAAATTCTTCCTCTCACCTCCTTCTCTTCTTCCGAGTAGATTTCTTTTTCTTTTTCTTCCCCTTGATAGGAGGTAGAGTAGATTCCTCATTGCAGGATAGGCTTTGGGGAATGCAAGAGAGAAAGGGGGGGGGGGAAGAAAAGAAAATTATACCAAACGAGTACCTGTCAATCAATGTCCTGACAATTCACACCCTAAAATTATGGTTCTCTGGAAAGGGTGGTGTTTTGTGGCCAATCCATAACATAGGGTAAGTGTTTAATTGGCACATTCTGGGCAATTTAGTCATGCTTGAAATTAAATGTTTCCTCTAAGGATTTATCGCACATATAATGAGAGAGTTACTGTATGTTAACTCACTTGGCATCAAGTTATTTAAGACATATTTATTGAGGTTAACAGCTCTATAATAGATTTATACATTTAACTTCCTTCAGTAAATATGCATTTACAAAAAAATTAATCAGAATTTAATTTGCATAGCCTAATAGTTGCAAGCGCAAGCAACCAGCTAATTTCTTTCAGAAGGAACTGTAATGTATATTAAATCGACACTGGTTATTTAAAAGAGAATATTAAACAGCAATTGACCAGCAAGAGTTCTGTAGTCATCGTGGTAGTGGTGGATGGGAAAGGAAGAGAAAAGATATAAATCTCAGAAAACCTTAAAGAAAAAAACAAAAAGCCTATGTGGGCCCCAAAGATCACACAATATATGAGTGGGTGATACTTTGCACTAAGAATTAAATCTTTTGCAAGCTTTGGTGTAGAAAACCCCACTTCTTCAGGCTTCACACAACCCATCGTGCAGGAAAATTATAGACCAGAGTCCAAAAATTGGTGATACATGTCTACCAGAGTTGATGGTAGTCCTCTCGAGGCTGGGTCTCCAAGCCTCTTTGTTTGGAATTTCAACGCCCTTCTCTTAGCACCAAAAGGATGATGATAAGTCTGTGACAGGGGTGAGGAATGCATGGGAACCACGCCGCGTATGGGCTGTACGTTTGCCTCAGACTGTGTTTGCAGCCACCAGAACACTCTGTTTTAGAGAGCTGTTATCAGAGAATCATACCTCCAGGGACTGACTGTACATCTTCTCTTGTTTTAGAACTTGTTTTGCGAAGTTTTGCAAAGTTCCAAGGCAGAAATGTTTGTGGTCCCTCCTCCCCCTCTCCCCACAAAGGAAACAGCCTGCTGGTAATTCCTTCCACCTCTCCCCCTCCCATCCAAAATTATAACATAAAATACACAAAAGCCTGACATTTTAAAGGTTTTTATCTTTGCCTGCCGGGCGGAGGACATTAGACTAAAAAGGAGGACATGTCCTCCTTTTGCCGGACGCCTGGCAACTCCTAGCTCCACTCTATCCCTCTGTGATATACAGTACAGAGGCCACAAAAATCTATCAAAACTGGTTCTGGGAGATTGACAGGGTGGTAGCATCTCATCCTTTGCCCCAGGTGGCAAAATGTTCCGGCAAGGGGGGGGGAACTCATCCTAAAAAGAGCCAGATCCTCTGATAGTGGAGGACAAGGAATGTATCGGTTCGGTATTCACGGAGGTGTATTCCCAAGCCCTTCTGAAGATCAGAAGGAAGGTAAGGAGCAGTGAAGGGTGAATGACTGAGAGCAAGCTAAGTGAGAAAGGGCATAGATTCAGGGTAAAGTAACAAAGCCCTGACTCGTTGCCTTGTTCACTAGTCACAATTCTTAATTAGGAACAGACTGTCCCTCTCACACTGTTGCTTATCCTTCGGAAAGCATTCTTGTGCTTATTTTCCTTCCATCCAGAGTTTCACAGATGCTGGGGGAGGCTAGTTAAGTAACACATTGAGTGTCTACTGTTACCTTCATGATAAGAGGTGTTACGTCCCTCCCTTCTTTTCTTTATCTGCATCAAGACACAAGGGCTATCTTTGCAAAAAAACCCGGTTGTCTTTCTTTAAATCAAACCACCTATTTTTGGCGGTTATCAACAAACACTGCCTTGCTTCTGGACCGCACAAACTCAATTTCTCAGAAGCGTTCCCCCCATCTTCTTTTTATTTTTTGCTCCCTTGCACATTGCGTTTTCTCCATTCCCAGACAGCCCAGTAAGCACCATCCTTTGTAACTTTTTTTCTTTTACTCTTTATTTTTGCAGATTTAACAAAAAAAAAATAAAGGTAAGCAACAAAAATTAATTGAAATGAGAAATGGAACAAACAGCCAAAACGAGAGCAATAGTATTAACAGTGAATGTGATCATGGAAGTTCTAACTATAAACCACTGTTGTAAATTTGGTATATGAATATAACTAGAATCATCACTTCGGATATCTTGTGTTAAGCACATAGATCAGTGTCAGCTTTCCAGATGTCCAAGTAAACATCTTCAAGAAATTGGTGCCTGCATGATATAGGTCTTGGACTTATGTTTGCAGCCTCACATGTTGTCTGTGGTTTGTGTGACTGGGTTGGGGTGATTGTCTATCTATTCAGCACTAACCAATTGTTCTTTCCAGCCTTTCGTTACAAAGAGGGCCCGCCTCTTTGTGGAGTGATCTCCCCCTCATTTCAGTCTGTTAGTGGCAACTGTTTGTTTGCTGTTGAGTTCTTCAGTTGGCTGCGGTAAAGAAAGTGGCGACTGTCAGTTAAAATGTTTTTTTATTCTTTCTCTTACAAATGTCTCAGAGTGAGTTACTGAGAATTTAAGTGCCAGTTAATGATAAAGGGGTGGACTATCTGGGTAACATGTAGCTTTTCTCCTCTGTGAGTCTCTATACTTTCTGTTGCGTAGCAAAAATGAATTCAACCAGAGATTCAAAACTCTGCGACAATATGTTCTCACGTAGCTAGTGTAAGAAGATCTGCTGACCATTGTTGAAGCAGATGGTGGGGGTCTATCTTTCCATGCCTTGAGCATAAGGTTCCTACAAGGGCTTTTACATTCCATTTTTGTTGCCCATTGGTCAGACCCCAGGGATATAGCTCAAAAGAACATTTTTGTTGTTTAGTCGTTTAGTCATGTCCGACTCTTCGTGACCCCATGGACCAGAGCACGCCAGGCCCTCCTTGTCTTCCACAGCCTCCCGGAGTTTTGTCAAATTCATGTTGGTCGCTTCAGTGACCCTCTCCAACCATCTCATCCAGACATCTCAAAAGAACATGAACAACTGCAAATTTCAGAGATGTTCCCAATATAAATACGAGATATGACTTCAAAATTGAAAAAAAAATCACTCGAGAAGCCCACCTCCTACGTCTCAAGATGTATTTCCCAGTATTACATCTCCAGTATATGTCAGAGTTTGACGATCCGTTCCCAAACAACCTTTGTGGAGTAAAGTAGACTCTGAATATTGTTGTTTTATTGCACCCATTTAAATTTCAAACCTAAGGAGAGGTCCTGCACAAATTCTGATACGATTTCCTGTTGTTTAGGTTGTAACTTGTGGTCTTCTTGGAGTCCTGAACCAGCAATGGGCGAGGTAAGAGCCGGTTGGGGAGGCTGGGAGTTGTAGTCCAAAAAAAAAAAAAGGAACGTTTCCCAGCCCAGTTTCAGACCACAACCGAGCCAGGCTCACATAGATGGCCTACAGCTTTTGCAGTTCTGTGGCTACTTTCAGATTTTGCCCAACCTCCCCTGCCTTTTCCTGATTTTTCTTTTGTGTGGCTTCCTTCCATCCAACAGTGAGAGACCCAGACCTCTGTCAGCCTTTTTCCGGCCCCTTGCAGAGTAAACACCTTTCCCCCCCACAGGTGGTCTGCCCTCATCCTGTTCCACCCCACCTGTTATGGACAGAACGGAAAGGTGAAGCCACCAGGTGACATCCATTTCAGGTGCCCTTGACCAAAGAGAACTTTTTAAAGCGCCATCTGCTTCACAGCAGAATATCTCTACTCTTCAGCCCTAAAGCTATACAACATAGCGGGGGTTTTGTGTGTGTGTGTGTGTGTGTGTGTGTGTGTGTGTGTGTGTGTTTAATGCACTACAGCTCCCAGGATCACACTGCCAACATGCAGTGGTGGTTGAAATTCTGGGATTTTTAGTCGAAAAGAAAATCACGCTTGCAAATTTTGTCCTAGGCATGGAAGGTAATGCCTTCAGAGTCATGCATTCAGGACATTGGTATGGGAATAAAAACGTGGAGTTCAAACCAGTGGCAGTGAGTTCTGCAAATTATTTAGAGAACTGCCTATGTGAGAAAGTGTTTCCTTTGGCTAACTTTAAATCTACTGCTAGACAGATTCATAGGACTGGAGTTCTGGATGTTGTGAGAGAATCTGAAAATCTCTCTGTTAAAACTTGGTAATTTTGATTGGAGTACCCATAATGCCCAAATGAGATAGATTGGCAGATGGGGGGGAGTGTAGTTCAGAAAAAGCAATTTTGCCATGCTCTGCATTTTTATCCCCTCCATCTTAAATGAGAATCCTTGGCTCCCCCACCCCCCAATTTTATCCTTACAACAAATCCTGTGAGGTCTGCTGCAGAAGGGAGGTTGGATGTGATCCTGGACTTATGGTGCTCACATAATATCAAGCACAAATAAGGGCGAGCCAGGTGGATGTGGACGGCACCATAACGTACAACAGGGGATGAAGCCAATGCACTACAGTTCCTATCATCCCTGACCATCAGCCATGCTGGGTGGAGTTCATGAGCATCAAAAACCAGTATTGTCAGGATTATTTGGATTATGGGAAGATTATTGGTTATTTGCAGAATGCGGAGTCTTTGGCCATTCCGTAAAGTGAACACTCTGGAACCCTGGATTATGACAAGAAAGAAAGAAAGAAAGAAAGAAAGAAAGAAAGAAAGAAAGAAAGAACGAGCGAGCGAGCGAATGAACGAACGAACGAACGAACGAACAAAAGAACGAACGAACGAACGAACGAACGATTTATTAGTTCTCTGAGAATACAACTATTTATTAATTTAGGAAATCTACTTAAGGATAGCACAGGAATAAAGATTTCATATACTAATTCAAAGACGTTCCTTGGTTCCCATGTCTAGCTGCCGTAGAAAGAAGATGCAGAAAGAGAAAGCAGGAAGCAAGAGAACCTAAAATCAGCAATCTACACTTTGGTGAGTGAAAACATGCACTCCGATCACCTGTCTCTTCATCATCCCCAGCCACAGACCCACACTGGGTCAGACCTCTGGATACCTATCCTGATCTCAATTTCAGTAATTGCGAGGATCACACGGTCTCCATACCTAAAGGAGAGGATGAGCCTTTTGGGGATGATTTGGGGCATACGGCCCGGAATGCCCTTCAAGGTAGTTTGCGAGCTGGGTGATGATTTTTTACTCTAACCCCCTGCTTCTAAGCTCATTTATTTGGATATAAAAATGCTCTGTCCTAGCCTATGCAGGTTCTCCACTTGCTGTCACATGCTGTTACTTAAAATTGCCATCCACCAGCCTATTCTATCAAGGGACCAGGGTGGCCGTTCTCTACAAAGAGAGCAGCCCACTCCAAAAGACTGCCTGAATCACAGATCCCGGGAATGGGAATCCATTGTTTCCTTAGGGCTGATGGAGGCAAAATTGCTCTGGGTGTACAGGCAAGTCCCTTTTAGGCAGAACACTTCTGACATGAAAGCATTTCATTAAAGAAGCAGCAATAGCGAAACAAAGAATTACTGGAGCAGAAATGTTTCTTCATTGCCTCGGGCATAATCACCGAGCACGACTCCTAAGAAACAGGCCCTTCCAAAAGTCTTTCTTTCAGACTGTTCAAAAGAACCTGCCAGGTCCTGATGGCACAGGAAATGCTTTGTTGTTTTTTTTTTTGAACTAAAAATATTTTATTTGTTTGCTTTCTACCTAACCTTTCTCCCTGTACTTGTTGTTGCTGCTTGCTCTCAAGGCACGTCCAAAATGTCCTGTCCTCAACGGCCCATCTCTTGCAAACTCAAGACTGTGGTTTCCTTTATGGAGTCAGTCCATCTTGTATTGGGTCTTCCTCTTTTCCTGCTGCCTTCAACTTTTCCTAGCATTATTGTCTGCTCCGGGGAGTCTTTTGTCTTTCCATGAGGTGCCCAAAGTAGGACAGTTTCATTAGTAGAAGCTAACAAAACAGTAAAAAAAATTCCAGAATCACACAACCACCAAGGCTGCTGGCGTTGTCCAAAAATGATTATTTTCTATCTCTTTGGACATAGTGCCGGCCTCATGGGCGTAAGCAGAGACGAGGAGATTTACTTTGTTGGACGACAGTGTTGCATCAAAGGTGAAAAGATGCATGAACCCTCCTCCTATATCTCCAGTATTTGAGATATTCTTAAATAACAGAAGTCTTTGGAAAAGTTAATTAATATTTGGAAATTAGGATTTTTTAAAACTATAATTCCCAGAATGCCCCATCCAGGCATGGCCAGTGGTTGTACTGGCTGCAGGAGTCTGGGAGTTGTAGTAAGAAAGAAAGAAAGAAAGAAAGAAAGAAAGAAAGAAAGAAAGAAAGAAAGAAAGAAAGAAAGAAAGAAAGAAAGAAAGAAAAAGAAAAGAAAAGAAAAGAAAAGAAAAGAAAAAAGGTAACGGTCTCCCTGATTTCTGATTTTGAGGTTTTCCAGCTCCTGCAGTTTTCAGCACAACGCAAGGGAAAGAGGGAGCAAGAGATAATGGTCCTTTCCCGCCCCCCCTTTTGCATACTCTGCTTTGCAAGGCTGACTCAAGACTTCTGCTGCCTGACGCAAAGCACAGATGAGCACCTCCCTAGGCTGGCCACTTACACACTATCAAAAAGGATAGAAGGGCATCATTCAACAGCAGGAGAAAAGAGGATTGGCATAAAATTGCACATATGATTTTATACATACCAATCAAAAATCAGGCATTGTTTTTATATTTTAAGAATCACAGTGCGTCTCACTTCCTCTCATGTCAAGGTCCGAGACCAAACATTTCTCTTCAAATGGGCAACACCTTCAAAACATTATTGCCGGTTGGTAGCCCTTCAAATAAATGACTCTCCCTCTTAATGGGGACATGGCTATCCCAGCCCACACTTACCAAGTTCAACATATTTAAAGCTAGACAAGGTATTTTGGCATATAAGCAGAAAATTCCACACATCATCCGTTGGAAACATTACAATATATGTATGATGGCTGTAAGAGGGTTTGGCTGGAAAGGATCTTTCTGGACTGGGGTGAATGTCAGTCAATCCAGTAGGAGCCAATCATTCTCCCTCTGCCTTAGAATTTTGAAAAGAGTCACACCTCTCTATTAAAGAGTTATTTCCTGCTCTTTTTAGTCAGTCAGTGTACTTAGAATTAGTCAACCATTTGCAAAGTCTAAATATAAAGTCTAGATGCAACTAGATAATCAGTTAAGCTCTGTTCATGTAGCAAATTAATATTTTTCTACAAAATGCCGTTTTGATCTATGAAGAACTGTGAGTAAAATGGAACTTTTAATTTGTCCCCCTTACCAACGTCTCTGAGTGGATTACTGAGACAGTAAGTGCCAGTGGAGGTAAATCAAACCAATCAGGGGCCACCAAATTTCCACACTTTGCAAATATTATCTTCCCCTCCTGGCAGTACAAAGTTACAATAATACAAAATTAAATAACCGTCCATGTTCGATCTTTTCATACCTCAGATTTTACTACTAGGCAGACTTTTCACTGTACCTAATGATAGGCCTGGCCCTTGCCAGCTAGAGAGTCAAGTCCAGCTGATCTCCAAATTTTCATATTGCCTTTCTGGCTTCATTAGACAACTGAAATGACAGCATCAAAAAGATCCCTATCATGTGATAACCTTTTAATCTTTCCCCACTTCTTCTTAAAAAGCATTCAATAGTCACTTTGGCAAGCTAGCAGGTATGGACCTTCCATAGACAGGTGTGTGAAGACATGCCACTCAATTTCATCTTTCCGCTAATGCACTAGAAGGGAAAATGGATCTGTGGAGGCAGCCATTCTGTTCTCCGTGCAATATCACGATTGCTTTTTGTGATCACAGGCATTTGCAGCTAAGATGAGAAAGGTCTGTTCCTTTTTGCTTTCTTTTGCATTTGAATTTCTCAAATTTATTTATTTCAATATAAAATAAGACAATCTCATTTTCCTTCTGTTTTCCGTGTGAAGAAAGGTGCGGATGTAGCAAATGATCAAAAAGTGGAAACAGAGAATTCTGATCAATCTGTTTTTGTAGCTGCAATGTTTGGTTTCTATACTTTAGGCGGCTTCCAATATAAAATAAGACAATCTCATTTTCCCTCTGTTTTCCGTGTGAAGAAAGGTGTGGATGTAGCAAATGATCAAAAACTGGAAACAGAGAATTCTTATCAATCTGTATTTGTACAGTGGAACCTCTACTTAAGAACTTAATCTGTTTTGGAATGGTGTTCTTAAGTTGAAACGTTCTTAAGTTGAAGCAAAATTTCCCATAGGAATGGACTGAAAACCAATTAATCCGTTCTGGCTGTTTTTTTTGTTATGTAGAGGTGCGTTCGTACATTGAAGCATTAGTTCCCATAGGAACTAATGCAAAGCTGGTTAATACGTACTCTACCACTAGGGGGAGATTTTTTTTTAACCTAAGATGGCCTAAAGTTAAAAAAAGAGCAGGAAAGGTTTTTTTTCCTGTTCTTATCTTGGATTTCTGTTCTCAAGTAGAAGCAAAATTTAGCAAATGGAGCTGTTCTTAAGTTGGATTGTTCTTAAGTAGGGACGTTCTTAAGTAGAGACCCCACTGTAGCTGCAATGTTTGGTTTTTACGTGAGGTGCTGCGCTTCCTTTCTCACTCCAAATGGCTATTCATTATTTTTAAAAGAATAAAATAAAATAAAATGAGAGGAAATAATGGCAGGGCTTGCAAAAGTTTCATTTTCAATTCTTAACCCTCAGAACCACTTTATCCATTTTCGGGAATAAAATGAGAGGAAATAATGGCAAGGCTTGCAAAAGTTTCATTTTCAATTCATAACCCTCAGAACCACTTTATCCATTTCTGGGAGCTGTTGTTCAAAAAGTAACATTTACAAGATCTGCATAAAATGCATCATGTAACAGGGCATACCTCCTGCACGATTGTTTAGGTTCAGAAATTTGCATAGACATCTATTAAAAATTAACAGACAAAACCACACAAGTTAATACAGAAGGGAGATGGGCTGAATGAACATCAAAGATGGTCTCTTTGGATTTCTTGTACTAGAAATCCCCAAATTCTCTCTGACAGACAGAGCCCTATATGTAGCTCTCGACTTTGAGGATTACCTAGGCTTAGCTTTGCCTAGTTTCAGAAAGGAAGTTCCCAGCGAGCACTGGGGTAGGAACAGGAAGTTTGGGGGAAAGTAGGCCTAGCACAGCCTCAAAACCTTCCAGTTAAGGCCTTTCTCCCAGGCGAGCCACATTTAGGTGCCTGCAAGGTGTCTGTCAAAGACAACTCCCAGAATAGACAATGATGGTATTTGTAGTCCCAGAAATCACAACATCCCACCCTCATGGAAATCACAAAAGTGAAACGAACCACATTTAGTCTGACCTGTCCATGTTTTTCATGTGCTTGCCCTGAACACTTCTGGCCAATCCCCTGTTTTCTTCTCGTAGCTGGCTCCCAATCTTACCTGTGTGATTTATTCCTGAGGTGCACCTCGCTGTCTTTTAGCCTCGCACAGCCATTGCTGTTCGAGGTCTCTTGAGCTGGATGGAGACCTTCCAGGGGTTTCTCACCGGTTGGAAGTGACAGGCAGCCGGATGCTTCAGTGCTATAAAAGAAGGGCGGGGAGAGAGAGAGAGAAAAAAAGCATATTGTCAGTGAAACATTCCCAGGGTGAAAGTAACTCCCCCATGTTCTGAGAGCAGCAAACTGTACTTGAGGCCATCCATCCTAGCCAAGGGAGAACGTTCTCAAATAAATTACTTTGGCATCTGAGCCAGAACCTTCGACAACCTACTCTACCTCTCCTTGGACGCAGACATGAGATCATGATGAATTAAATAAACAATAATTTCCCGTCCTTTTATTATACCTAAACTGACCCCATGAAGTGTATATCCCTCTCAGCCAAATGATAGGGCCGGCCCTCAAAGGAATTCTGTGGATTCACTGCAGGATAGTGAAGGTTTAAAGTATAGAACTGGTTCTGGAGATCATTATCTGTGACCCATTCCTTCCTTTAACCTATAGCCAGAATTATGCATATTATTTATTTATATTTAATATGTAAAATAGGGCCGGAGAATGCAAGTTGACCAAAGCCAAATTTAATACGTGAGCAACCTCTAACAGATGTAGAACAAGAACAGTGGAGGTTCCGTGTGGAAAACCTCACAAATTTCCTCTGAAACAGCATCAACTAATTACTTCCATATCTCTAAAAGTCGCCGACTGGTAACCGTGTCCTTTCCCTTGCTGGAGCTTCTCTAGTGACATTTTTGTTGAGATAGTGATTGTAGAATTGAACATTTTGAACCTGGAGAAATGGATGAGCAGGATCATAGCACTAAACTCCACCCCCCAAATAAAACAAGCCTGAACAGAGGCTGAAAAAGGCATGGAAAACAGCCCCAAAAACAATGAACTAAGCAAGAGAAATCTTAGGCTTTTTGACTGGCTGGGAAAATACTGGAACCATCAGTGCAGAAGCCAGTACTTTTTTAAAAAAAAATCAAATATTCCATCTGGTTAACCCTGTAGTTTGGTGTATTCGCGAAGGCTTTCACGGCCGGGATCTAATGGTTGTTGTGGGTTTTTCAGGCTCTTTGGCCGTGTTCTGAAGGTTGTTCTTCCTGACGTTTCGCCAGTCTCTGTGGCTGGCATCTTCAGAGGACAACACTCTGTGCTCTGGTGTAGTTGGCTTGGGAGTGAAGTATTTATGGCTGTGAGATAGGCTATTGTCCTTTTCTGGAGATGGGTGATTAGTGTGTCTTGTAGTTTGACTTTAAATATGACAATTCCTCCACCATCATTAATTTTTGTTTTGTTTTAATTGCTCTTTGTGAGGCTTTCCACATTTCAGGACTGCTTCTCACACTTTGCTGCAAAAATTGGAAAATGGTATAACTCTTGCCTCGATGCATGGATTAGCAAAAGTAGTAACAATGGAGGCAAAAGGTCTTACAGCAATTGGGGGAATTCCCAATAGGCTGCCTCATTGTTTCTAAATAGCTGATCTTGGCCAAAATCTCAGAAATTTCCCCTCCCCATGTTCCTATTTTGCAATAGGAATGCAGAACCCATGGTTTTTAAAAGAATGGCAAAACCCTCTGACCATATTTTAAAATTACCACGTTTCTTCTCCCTGGAACCCACTTTTGGCATCATCTGGCCTGATTATGGGTTCTGGAGAACAAAGTCTTTCATTCCTTTGTAGGATTTGAGATGGTTCTAATCAAGCTATGGAGTTGACGCAGCTCAGTGGGTTGGGGCACCCATGGAGTCACTTAGATTGCCACATTTCTTATCCCTGGCATCCACTTTTGGCATCATCTGGCCTGATTATGGGTTCTGGAGAACAAAGTCTTTCATTCCTTTGTAGGATTTGAGATGGTTCTAATCAAGCTATGGAGTTGACACAGCTCAGTGGGTTGGAGCACCCATGAAGTCAGGAGGCAAGAGTTCAAATTCTCCTCGTGCCTCCCATGAGAGGGGACCGTGAAGGCTACTCAGAGTCGGGGTGGCTGATGGGCTTCCATGCCCTTGCCATGGATGCAGCCGCCACCAGAAGGAAGGGCCGGTCAAATGCTGCACACCTTTTGCGACTTTGAAAAGACAGCGGTGGGGGGGAATGATCTCCATAATTGGAAAGGGCTGTTGCTCCATTTTGTATTTGTTCTCAATGACGGGTGTAGCTGCCTTTGATTTTTGTATTTAAATGGGAGCCAGTGGCTGAAATCCAGTAGTAAGTCACAACTAGAGTAGGCCCATTCGATCGCTAGGCATGGGATGACTCAAGTACTCCATAACTTCCGTTGATTCAAAGGGTGTGCTCTAATTGTGACTTATGACTGGATTTCACCCATTACCTCTGAAAATGCGCCTAGAAATGTTATTTTGCATGCAGATTCGTTCATGTGTGTGTGTGTGTGTGTGTGTGTGTGTGTGTGTGTCTGTGTCTCTCTCTGTGTGTGCAAATCCCTGCCTTTATTTATCCCCTGTTTTGGTGATGCCCTCCCCATGTTTTGGGAGAGCCGGTGGGGTGATGTACCCCTCCGCTCTTTCAGGCCAGTTGCTTCCAGCGGCTGAGGACGGGCAGTCGCTCATTCAAACCAATGCATCCATTAAGAAATCAGTACTGGTGGGGGAAGGGCCAGCGCGGCCACCCTCCCGGATTGATTGGGATTTCAGAAAACCGGGACACGCAGGCCAAGGCTGCACGGGCCAGCGGTTCTGTCGGGCAGCATTGCGGGAACAACCACTGCTTCGCTGTTGTTGTCATCTGGCACCTCATAACACCAAGTGACTCCCATCCAGACAAAAAGGCCGGGAAGGGTATGGAGGCGAGGAGGAAACATACATGCTTACACTAAAAAGGGAACTTGTAAATCAATGGTTCTGTTAATGTATAAAAACAGTGGGTCCTTGTGCCGTCAGTCGTTCAGTCATTAGGCCTCTGGTGTCCTCAGGGAGCACCTTCCGGGAAGGCTTTCCAAGCTGGGTGTCGCTTCGCTCCCATTGACGCCAATGCCTACTTCTCTGCCCCCCCAAGGCCAAAATCCTATGCTTGAGAGAGCACCTACTCTCTTCCTGCCCCAGTAATGCATTAAATGAGCAGGGCCCTGCTGACTCTTTGTTTTAGCTCCACTCTGTGGTGGACCGCCATTTTGCGGGCCCTGAAATCCCAAGAATTGTTTCCTTGTGAGGAAAGTGATGACAAACCTCGACAGCATCGTAAAAAGCAGAGACATCACTTTGTCGTCAAAGCGATGGTTTTTCCAGTAGTGATGTATGGAAGTGAGAGCTGGAAATGAGCAGGGCCCTGCTGACTCTTTGTTTTAGCTCCACTCTGTGGTGGACCGCCATTTTGCGGGCCCTGAAATCCCAAGAATTGTTTCCTTGTGAGGAAAGTGATGACAAACCTCGACAGCATCGTAAAAAGCAGAGACATCACTTTGTCGTCAAAGCGATGGTTTTTCCAGTAGTGATGTATGGAAGTGAGAGCTGGACCATCAAGAAGGCTGAGCACCGAAGAATTGATGCTTTTCAGTTGTTATGCTGGAGGAGGCTCTTGAGAGTCCCCTGGACTGCAAGGAGAACAAATCTATCCATTCTGAAGGAAATCAACCCTGAGTGCTCACTGGAAGGACAGATCCTGAAGCTGAGGCTCCAGTACTTTGGCCATCTCATGAGAAGAGAAGACTCCCTGGAAAAGCTCCTGATGTTGGGAAAGTGTGAAGGCAAGAAGAGAAGGGGATGACAGAGGACAAGATGGTTGGACAGTGTCACCGAAGCCACCAACTTGAATTTGACCCAACTCCGGGAGGCAGTGGAAGACGGGAGGGCCTGGCGTGTTCTGGTCCATGGGATCACGAAGAGTCGGACACAACTTAATGACTAAACAACGAACTGTCATGAGGCCCCCTGTGCAACCAGCAACGAGAGTTGGGTAACCACTGCTTTCCCTTCTTCAATGGGGTTGTTCTGCAACATTTCTGCCCACAGCACACAGTCTGCATACCTGCTGATATTTTTAAAGATTGCTCACAGCCCTTTCTCTCCAAGCGTGGACCTGAGAAACCGTGTGGCATAAAGGCTGGAGTGTTTGACTAGGACCTATGAGATGAGCTTGGATCCTTCAACCTCTCAGCCTAATGTACTTCACCAGGCTATTGAGGATGAAGTGGTGGAGATACAAACTGCGCATGACGGTTTGATTGCATCAGAGGAAAAAGAAAGATATCAATTTAATTACTATGTTTATGGGTTACTTGTAGTGGTGGGGGCTGGACTAGATGACCCTTGGACCTCCTTAGAAGTCTACAGTTCTGCTATTCCATAAAACACATTCTGATTTAAGCCTTGGGTCGTAAGAGCTGCAGAGGTCTGGCAGGGACAGCGGGGAGGATAGTTCCTCTTGATCTAAAACTTCACTACTGCACGTAGCTCATGAATCCATCTGGTCAACGGCATACATTGCCAATTTTTCATCAGAGGGCTCCAGCCAGCCCCCAGCAGTACCTGAGAGGGCTCATCTTTGGGCATTTCTCCTTGATTAAGTCCCCTGCAGGGAGCTTTGTGGTAATCCTTTCCTTTCAGATTAGAAGAATCATTTATATTAAATTGCAAATGCAATTCCATCACAAACATGAAAGTCTACAAGATAGAGAGCGAGAGAGAGCAAAAGGAAACACACACATATAGGCAACGGACGGAGCTCCCAAGAGCCTGGTGCCAATGGAATTACCAGTGTGGAGTTTTCATGGAACAATGGGAAAGAAGATTGGGTTGAAGGGAAGGCCGGCTTTGATGGGATTGAAGAACAATTATTTCCATCAATAATTGCGCTCGGCTCATGGGGAATCGTTCAGCGCCTGTTCCAGAACTGTAGCCCTTTATATTGTCCTCAGGCCAAGTATGAATTAACGCTGGAAACAAAAATACCATTAAGCCCAAGTAGAAATTCTGTACTTGAAAGTGGACTCGTGCTGCATTTTCCCAAACAAAGCCTACAGCTGCTGATCTAAATATGCACTGTGTGAAACTTCAAAATTGGTCACATACAGATAATGCCCATGTCGGTCCATTCTATGGGAGTGGAATGAAGAA